ATTCTTTCCCTAGCATTTTCAGGCTTTACAAATGATATATAGTTTGTTTTTGAGTGTGTGGTTTACTCTCACAGAGAGGATACAAATATTTGCTACACTCACTAAGGTGCATGTTCCTAAGTTACACTTAGAACTCCTTAATCTTCAGAGATAACTACAATGTTGTACATTTAACTCTATAAGCTCTGTCTCTGGTTCCATTGCTTCATGGGCTTGATATCACTCTTTGCCAACCATTCTAGGTTTGAAGTCATGACATATATATAGTCTTGTAAAATTTGCTCGTTGCAAATGCCTGTTGAAGCAGGATGTAGTCGTTCATGACTAGTTTAATCTTTCATTTAATGCACAAGATCTTGCATTAAATGTTGCTTCCTGTTTATAGACATTGCGTGAAGTCTTCTTCGTTTTGTTAGCAGCAGTATTTGACTTTAACTGAGAACTAAGAATTTTTTGTCCTTTTCCGGTCGCGTAGCTGTAGAGGCGTTTTCTTTATCTGAAAAAATGATATACTTTTTTTGACACATGCATGCTTTTACTTTTGCACTTGTATTTCTTCTTTTTCTTTTCTTACGTTCAACGCGCGATCTTATTGAGAGCTTTTGTATGATCGTAGATGATGCCTGAGTTGTCCCTTGAGACTTGATTCTTCAAAAGCTTTCATGGCAGTCTTCGTCTGTGTCTGTTAGTCCATGTGCATCTCAAGTCTTGATCTTCGTTTGAGCATTAGTCATTAATGTTTTGACTTTCTTTGGTCTGGTCAACATTGTAGATGGACAGACTTTGTTTTCCATCTGGAATGCTTTTCAGTCTGTGCTGTCCTTCGTTTGATATGTTGTTGACTTTCTTCTGATTCTTGACCAACCTTCGTTTAAGTTCTTATGTTGCGCTCTAGGTTGTCCTTGACAAACCTTCGTCTAATATTTGATTTATCATCATTTGGCGCTCATGTCGTACTCTATCTATCATTTGACTTTCTTTGTCTAATCCTCGTGGTATGCTTTGCTTTGACTAATCTTCGTTTGGTATTTGAAGCTTTTGTCTGTGGTTTATATCGTCTAAAGCTTGATCATTTGCCTTTTTATGCTAGGTTTGTCTTCGTTGACTTTTCCATCTGGTTTTTTGATTTATCTTGATTCTGGTATAGGAAGTGACAACTTGCCTGTAATTATGTTTTTCTGAAACACTAACACACTTGTTAGAAATAACATGTATTATATTTGTCTCATTCAAAACCTTGCTGGGAATTGCTTCGTCTGACTTAACAATAAATATACATATACATTGCATAGACTAAAATATCAGTAATAATAGAAGTTTTTATTAGCAACAAGTGTTTTGTGACGTTTAGGATGTCTTTCTCTCTAAATCTCAAAATTGAGTTGCATTCTTTGATGTTTTGGAACTACAACAAATTTGCCTTTAACACATTTACAAGCAATAGTGTAAATGTGTCAAGCTATGAATTATTTGGACTTGACTGATCAATTTTTTTGTTAAAGTTTTAAAAAAACTTGAACTTGATATTTGGTTAATTTACTTAACTAAGTCCAAACTTTAAAAACATGATGGACTAAATAGTTTGTTATATACATGTGTGTGTGATATATGGCACCCCCAGTATTAAAATCCTGGCTCCGTCCCTGTATACTGTTTGAATGAATTGCCAGTGTGGTCACTTGCCACCCACGGACAACATCACAACACATAATTTATTATTTATTTTAAGATATAATAGTATTATAATTAATTAGTTATTTGATTTAATCTAATTCATTTTCTTAATTTATAGCTTAGGACATACGTTAATGAAAGTTTGGTGCAAAAAGAGATACAACACAAAGTAGAGAGTAGAGAGTGAGAATCAATGGAGGCTTTGAAAAAGAAGTGGTATTGCAAAATGTGCGCCATTTAAACGCAATTGCTACGAATATGATAATTTTAATAATGAAGAATTAACAAATAATATATAAAGCCACCTAGTGATTGCTAAATGGTAATACCATATTGTATCTGGTTGTGTTACAACTTAGAACTTTGTAGACAGTGTCGTACATACACATATGTTATTCTGATGTAAGAATGAATAAAAACAAGCAATATCCAATGTTCCACAATAATTAAAATATGTTCTCAAAGAAAGAAGACTGTGACTCTGTCTCTGTCTCTGTCCCTGTCTCTGTTCGTCTCTCTGAAGGAATCGCTTAGGATCACATTCTTTTCAAGTTTAGTTTTAGCTTCTGGGCACCCGCAAGTTCTCTGCTTTTATTAGGGTTCCTTTGATTCTCAATTGGATTGCTATTGGGTGCTCACGCTGCTTTGCTCAATTGTTGCACTCTTTCTGTTCATGGTAAGACTCATTAGCAGCATATGATTCTGATTTGCATATCAGGGTGGACTGTGGAGGTTGGGGGTTTTTTTTTTTTTTTTTTTTTTTGTATTCTTGTTTTGTTTCGGAAATGATGAATTCATGTGTAGAAATTCTTCTTCAAAAAACAAGTGTTTTTCTGGAATTGGGTTTTGCTTTGGAATTTGGATTATGAAATCAGTTCAACATATATATTGGGATGAAATCTAACAAAGTCTTTTTTTTTTTTTTTTTTTTTTTTTTTTTTTTTTTTTTTGGGGGGGGGGGGGGGGGGGATGTAAATCCGAATTCTGAAATCCAATATTTTTGTGTGATTTTTCATCAACCCAATGGAGCCTTTTTCTCATCACTTTAAGAAAGTTTTGAACTTCAAGCTTCAGTTTCCATTTCCCGAACATTTTGTTTTTATCATTACCTTTTTTCCTGATTTATCGGTGACTTTAATGACAGTAGTTTGAAGTCGTGACAAGACGCGTTTTTTCATCAATTAGTGCAAGGAAGAGACAAAAACAATGGACGAGTTCCTTTGCGTTTCTGCAATTGTTGCTTGTTTGAATTTCTTTGGAAACACTTTACTTACAAGTCATGATTCTCATTCTTTGTTGGATTTCCCCTGCTATGTTCTTCAATTTCATGAGCCAAAACCTTTTCCTTGAAGTTTCTTTACCTTGAGGAAGTTCTCATTCAAGTTGTTGCTTAAGGTTGGTTCTGTTGTTGGTGTAACGGGGTGCACGGAAAATGTTACCTTTTAGTTTTACTATCACCATGCATGCCTGTTGCAATCTTTTGAAACCTTTTCCTTGTCATCACTATGAAGCGTTGACACGGACCACACTTGTCATGTCTCATGCCATTCTTGTGATCTAGTTGCTTTTGTCTGTTATTATTTTTTTCCTCAATCTCACGTTTCTCCCTGTGAATTTTTGGCTCAGAGATTATTTGAGCTTTTGACCTGATCAGTGAACTGCCAAGGCAAACGACAAGGTTAGTTGGATAAATCTTTGGTGCTTATTTTTAATCATGTGTTAGATTATGAAATGGGAAAGTAGAATAAAGAAGTGAGAACCATTAATGCTGCTTATGAAGGGCCAAATAAAAAAAATAAAGGGAAAATTAATGGTGCTGAATAAAGTATATGACAATTTTAAAATATTATGGACAGTTCTAGTACAACTTAAAATGCAATGCTGCTCGTGAGTAACCCACCACCACTTCTTTGTTGGTTGACATTTATTTACTCATGTTGATGGCTTTTCTACTGTTAATTTCCCTGTTAAGTTGCTAGTGCTCTCTGTTCTTTTTTGACTTTAATCAGTGAATTGACATCTTTGTTTTTGGAATATATTTGGGGGACTGTTATCCCCATAACTTTGAGTAGCTTGATGTCAGAAACACTAGAAACTTGTTGTGTGCACAAAAACACTAGATTCTTGCTGGAAATTCACTGTATCTTCTTTTATATCAGCAGGTATAGTACTCTCTGGACATGGGTTGCTTCGTGTCCACTCCAAAGGATTCTGGTGGAAATAGAAGGAGGCCAGGGAGTATTGGGGAAGTTGCTGTGTATGTTCCCGGTCTAAGAATTCCTAAACCAGTTGATTTTGCACAGTCACTTGGTGATTACTTGTCCAAGAGTACAGTGGAACGTCTGTCTGCTCTTAGAACTCGTATAGTTGTAATGGCCGGCCAAGAAGGACCTACAATTACAAGAACAAAAAGGAAAAGTGCCACCCAACATGGTTAGTGCTAGCAAGGATGAATCATTTTATAATGAATGAGTTGCTCAAATTTAATGATGCATCACACAATTTCATCCTCAGGGGGTTCAACGCTGGCTGATCTTCAGCAGGCTCTTGAAGATTACTTGCCAGTACTTTTGGGATTAGTTGAAAATGGTAAAGCATGTTTTAGTCCATTTGTAGTTGAGGCATGTTCTCTCCTCTGCATGTCCTGACTAATTACTGATCTTTATTGTGCAGGAAACCATTTGCAATACAAAGTACAATTTGTTTGGGTGAATCAAGAGGATGACGCAGAGGTGATTTCTATTTTTTTTATGCACGTGGGTTTTTGCTTTGATTTGAATATTTCTTTGTATACAAAATAATCTATCTTGGATGATTTTAGTAGATATACTTGGATTGCCTTATTGAAATCAAAATCAGAAGTAAAAATATATGTTCAAAATTTTATTTTTCTAATTGAAAATCAATTTGATTCCAAAATAAAATGTATTCGGACGGATAATGGTCTTTTTTTTTTTTTTGGTGCAACTGACATTTTTACAGGAAACATCCATGTCCAATGCTTGGTATGAAGTGTTGTCAGTTTTGCACTTGATGGCAATGCTATTACTATCACAGGCTAATTTATTACTTCTTCCCAGAACATCCAGTGATGGCCATCAGCCAAAAGTATCAGAAGGTGAGTGATCCAATTTTTAAGCACATGTTAACATATTCCTTGTAACTTGCCCCATAATCTTATTGTTAATTACATCAACAACCAAAATACATTTTAGCAAAGTAATTCCATTTTGAGGCACAAGTAGAATGTCTTTGGGGTTTTTCAGTTAATCTTGTTTCTGCTTTGTGTGTTTGTGGTTTTGTGGTTACATGGACTCTGTAGTCTCCACATATACATTAAATTACAATTATCTTTGATTTTCAGATCAACAATATGAATATGGAAAAAAAGGTGTGTTTTAATTGATAGTATTTATGAATTTGTCAATTTCTATTTGAAGTTTGAAGAAAGATGATTTTCTCTTCATTTTTTTAGAAAAAAATTTCTTGTCTTGTTCATTGCATATGCAGTAAGTAAATAATTCTTTGAAGTTCTGTGTGTTCATGTCTAGTTTATCATAATTTGTGAAATTTTATCTTCTTATTGACAGAATAATACAAAATTTCCTGTGATTTTTTTCACCTGTTGGTTATATATTGTGGTAGTTGATTAACTGGAAACACATTTTTTATGGCCTTATATGTTGCAAAACTTTGTTTCTAATGGTGCTGCTTCATTCATGCCTTTATGTATATTGTTCCTACTGCAAAGCTTGAACTTTTGTTTAATTACTAACAGAAAGCAGACGAGCTTCTGTTGATATCTTCTTAAAGGCAGCTGGGTATCTAGATTGTGCTGTAAGGCATGTTCTTCCACAGTTGCCCGCAGAAATCAGGTTTGTACCCATGTAATTCAATCAGTTGTCTGTCACACGGTTTTGTGTAATCTAAACTACCATCTTCATTGTTATTTTATTTCTATTACTCTTCTCACTGTTGCTTCTGATTTTAGGAGAAATTTACCGGTAGACCTTGCAGAAGGAGTTCTTCGAGCACTCTGTCTACAAGCATTGGGACAGGTATTGATATTTTTTGCCTAGCAGATAATTAATAAGTGAAATGTGTCACATTTAATGGATAAAACCAATGCGTCTCATAAGTCTTCACTATCTATTGAAGCAAACTTCTTGTCCATCATTCTTCTCACTAAGTTATGTTGTGTATTCAAGCAAATGATTAATAGAATTAGCTTTGCTAGGGTTTATTTATGTGTTTATTATTAAAATTGGGAATGGACTTGGCCTAACTCAACCCCAGAAACTAGCTCAAAGGTAAGGATTTCCCAAGTCAATATAAATGATCCTTTGCCCATTTACTGGGACAATGTGGGATCTTAATATATTCCCATTATGCTCATAATTTGTTTAAAATTGAAGGCCACTAGACTGCATTAATTAATAATAATGCTACCATTTTTTTTTTAATGAATCATGTTTCTAACTGCATGTCATGCTAATCAATATGCTTGATGCATGGTTGACAGAATCGCGTGCTGGATCGTAGAATTGGACATTCTACAATCCTGTTCCCTTGTGCAAGTTCAAACAACCACCAAGCCTTGTCCTACTAGATGGGTTGAAGAGCATAAAGTAGAAAAATAGTCTTCAGTAGGTTGGTACTGTCACAGCTTGGGAGAGTCTGTGCAGAAACTAACATCAGCTTAGATGTTAATTTCACAAAATATCAGATGATACTATAAAAGCCTTGTTGATTATTAAGGAATCATTGACCTATATGCTTAAGTTGTCAAAGATTAGTTTTGATCCTTTCCCCACATGTGAAAGTCCCCTGGGAAATGAAACAAAAATAGAATCTATTCTATAACATACTGTCAACAATTGTTCTAGACTTCTAGAATATTTTTGGTGGCCAATTGTGGACATAGGAATCAATTTTAGAGCAAGCATGGCGTATTGCTCAACCAAGTTAGGGCTCAAAGCTTATCAGACTAGTTTTACGCTTCCTATATTTCTATTCTTCATTTCCTTCATGAAGATAAAATTACTATTATAATCAGAAAAAAAGGGTTGAGCCCTAGATAATCAGCATGTGTTTAGAGTAAGACATATCCAACAACAATGTGAGCATCATTCAAATAAATTTCCTCTGTGCATCACATACATCCTTTTTCCACTTAAAATCTTTTACCATTCTTCAGTTTAATCTTCCACATTAAGGTAGGTCATTTCAATTTTTTTGGTCTAGCAGATTCAGACCTTTCCTCTTCTGAAAAGTTTATGGAAATATTTTGAGTAAGTGGATATATATAAATTTGCTCATAAGTTAGGCTAGTAATAGAAAATTTAAGTTGCTTGAAGCTTATAAAAAAAGTAATAGAAATCTTTTGCATGTTGAATAATTGAATCTGAGAACGTGTTCAAGTTTTCAGTATATTAGTACATGCCTTTGTTGCCATAATAAGGAATAAACTGGTAAGGGTGAAAAGGAAGGAGTGAACATTTTAGTTCACTTGAATCTGAGAACATGTGTTTGACATTTTAGTACTTGCACCAAATTTCAAGTCATCTCTTAGTTCCATTGATATATAAATTATAAAATGTAAATTTTATGAATTGAGGTTGAAGTTTAAAGCAATGAAGGGATTGAAAGGGGCACATTGTCGGTTGGTTGCAATTGTTTTGATTGAATTCATGGTGCAAATTCTTGTGGATTTGTCTTAATTAAAATATTAGCCTAGAGTTTTAGGTCTAATGATGTGTTGTTTCCATTTAAGAATTTGTGTGATTCAAAACCATCAGATTTGTGTATATGTGGCTCTCCTATCTGGTGTGGGGGAATGTCATGTATAATGTTAACAACATTGCATGGAGGACTGAAGAAGGGGACTGTTCAATATTATAGATATACCTTTCCCTCTATCTCTCTCGGACATCTATTTTAGGTATACTTATTTATTTCTTTGTTATTTTAATAGGGTGTAGATATCCAACTTGGAATGGCAATTGATAGTACCAAGGCCACTCTCGCAGTGAAGCGGAGACTTGCATGTGAGATGGTGAAATATTGGCAACAGGTACAAATGCAAACTTTTAATAGGGTGTAGATATCCATATGATTTTTTTTTTCTGAGGTGGGGTGTGGGGTGTGTGTGTAAACAATGCTAGAAACCTAGAAGTAGTACTTGAATGTGTAACCTTCTGGTTTATGACCATATGCTCTCCCCAACCGAGCTTTTTTCCATATAACTTTCAAATTCAATATCTGTAAAATAAGAGGTTTTTCTAAGCATGTAAATCTTAGTCACGTCAGATGTATTGAGTATCATTCTGTTTTTCTGGGTTTGCATTCCATAAGTTTCTTTTAGCAAGATTTCTGTTCTGTTGACGAATTTCTTGGTTTCTTTTTAAAAGGATTTCAAGACTAAGTAACTAACTTTTATCTGTCATTTCTCAATTTATCCTATGTTTTATTTGTTTTATCCCCATTTTCAGATGGGATTCTAATTGTTTCTCTTGGTTCTAAATCTATAGCATTTTCCCCTTAGACAAATCTTTGTTTCAGTTCTGTGTACTCTGTATGTGTGTGCATTAGTATGTTAACACAAGTCCATTTAACCGGTATTCATTACTTCATTAACCTGTTCAATTTGCAGGCTCAAGATAATATTATGACCCTTCCATTAGCAAATGGTTGGGGTGAAAAACATCGGCTTTTTGTGAAATGGAAGTATATTGAAGCAAAGGTTTGTGTTTTTTCTCCCCAGTTATTTGCATCTTGCTAATTAATTACTATGTATTATAGTAATACAACTAGAGTGGAATTTTCTGGTTACTGTGTACCTTCTGCCTATAAATGCAGATGGTATAAAACGAAACAAATAATTAATGGTCCAGAAGATAAAATATGAAGTTGGTGTTGAAACATGAGAAGTGGGGATTAGATCTTTATGTTTCTTAGGGTATAAAGTTTAGTTGGAAGTGGCTATAGGGACATTTAGTTAATTGTTAGGCCTAATTCACTTCTTAAAATGGTACAAGAGCTTATCCAATCTTGATTTTGAGTCACTTGCAACCTTCCAGTTTTACAAACTTCACACTCCAGATGTCCAATCTTGGAAGAGACGTGTGTTAAAGATGACTCACATTGATTAGGAGGTATTGGAGTATAGGAGTTTACTATTTCGTTTGCTTTGTATTCTATTTCAATGTATAGTCTGATAACATAATCTATTAGAATCATCTATATATGCAGTCAGTAGGATAGTTAGCTTGTTGTGTACGCTTGTTAGATAGCTTCCCTTGTACTCTTCAACAACTATAAATAGTTGCCTACATATTGCAATTCATTCAAGTTAAGTTTTCTATCAATAATATTTTATTTTCTTTGAAACATTTCTAATAGGAGGCAATCCTCCCCTCTTAAGCTACTTTTTGAGAGTTAGGCACAGCCCATTCTTAACAATATTATTGGTTTTCTTTTCTGTCTACGGTGTATTGTTTAGTTTTTTACCCTTGTTCTTTGCATTTGTGTGGGGGACAGCATTCTCTTGAAGAAAAATCTCATTGACTTGGTAGTGGGTTTTATGTTGGTTAAGGAAATGAGCACCTGTTCCTGTTTTAAAATTATGACAATATTATGCTGAAGTCATTTGATTTATTCTTATATTTTATTCCCTTAATCATTTTTAATTAGACCTAGAACAACTCAGTTACTGGTGTATATGCTTTCTTTTGATTTGAGCATACCCATGCATAATTCAGGAACAAGTTTAGAAGATGCCTTTAGCAGTTGCAAGTGATGGGAAGTTATTGATATGCTTATTGCAATGATTTTCTAGGCTGCGGCATATTATTATCATGGATTGATTCTTGATGAGGGAAACACAGAGAAATCTCATGGGATGGCTGTAGCTGCTTTACAAGCAGCGGATGAGTATTTCAAAGAAAGTAAGAAGCTGTGTGAAGCATTCAACACAGCACTTCCATCATCAAGGTTATTCATAGTATTCCCTTCTATAAACTGATTTGTTTTTATGCTATTATGCTATCATCCTAGGTTATACTTTTAATTTTCAAAATCTCCTTGAGACAACCTTTAAATCACGAGTTATGCATCTTGTATATAATGTGATAGCATCATCAGTTTTATTTACCCCATTTTTGGAATTGGTAATGGATACATGTTATGTATGTGATTTTCATTAGCTGTGGAGTAATTTCTGCTTATTGCATAAATGCTAATAGCACAAGCACGGGTGTGAATATAATAGAAGGAACAATGAATGAAAGACATGATGCCTATGTGATTCTGTATGGGCTAATGACCCGAGTCTTATGCCTTCTTTTGAGAGAATCGCAGTTGTCTCTCTTGACACTAGTTGGATGTCAGGTTCATAAATGAGATCTTCTTAGGTACTTCAACTCTGGCATGAGAATTCAATATATTCTTAAAAAAATTCTCAGGCACCTTTGTCATTGCCCCTATTTATGAGCTGAACTTAATCACCGAGATATCAGACCATGGTTTTGATACGTTTATCATCTTTTAGGTTCCTTTTAAAAATTGTACTTTTGGTGGTAATATTCTTTTTCATGGTCCATCTAACTGGCAGTCATGGTGCAGAAATCCACCACTTTGGGGGACTATGAAATATCTTTGTGAGAAAATTCCAAAGGATACTTCAAGCAAGGTGCGAATAAACCGTGATCTGTACTCCTATGAGAGGTAAACTTTAGTGCATTAGTAAATTGTTGCGTAAATGTAATTTCATAATTGATAATGATTCTTGCTAAATGAAAAGTGAGTAAGTAGAATGACTAATAAAATCATGTGTTTTGTTGTCAATGTTTATTACAGAATCATGGAGACAGCACCAACATTGCCTGATTTTGCTTTGGCTTTGAAACCGGATGATTTTCAACTCCCTCAGGTGGATCCCTCTTGGAAAACTGAAAATGTGAAAGGGGGACAAAGTGGTGCAACCAATCATCTCAATGGATGACAAATGATAAAACCTTACAAATGTGCAGATCTCAGAGATGTCATCTTCTCAGAAAAGAAGGATGTGAGCCAAGTTCAAGCTCAGAAGAGTGATTTTTCAATGCTTGTCAATAGTAGAAAATTAACTATTTCTGCCTTTGTGTCTACCTTTCCCTTTTTGCTTCATAAATTGATTCCTCACTTCCTCCACAATATTTGAAAGAAGGCCAGCAAGTGGAAATAGAGCTTCAGGTTGTGTTAAATGTAAATTGTCTACTTGGGAAAAGAAAGGGTTTCCTTCCTAGCCAATACCCAAATAATATGATTATTACTGTTTTGTTTCCGCGTAAAGCCAGTCAAATCAACCATTTGGCAAACCAAGTTGTACAAGTGAGATTGTGTGTATAATTGACATGTGCATTGCAGAGAAAAAATGGTTTCCTTTAGGTTGTGTTAGCATTCGAAAGAATTATAAATGCAAGGGAATTTATGACGTTTTAACAAGGTGATCTCGACGTGTTAACAGTATATCTGACAATTTAACAAAATGAACTCGACATCTTATCAAACAATGGTATGCTATGACAATCAAACTGTTTACATAGATACTGCATTTAGTTTTGGACAGTATATAATAATAATAATAATAATAATAATAATAATAATAATAATAATAATAATAATAATAATAATAATAACAAGAGTCTTATTATAATAACAAAAGTCTTATTTTATTACCTGAGGAGTTTTGATTAATATAATTTAAAACAATACAAACTATGAAATAAAAATAGAAAATAGAGAAATGCTACCTGCACTTTCTCTGACATTTTCTTTCCAAAACTCATTATTATTGGCTAAAATTTGTTAATAATTATAATTTTTGTTAGGTTCAGTAATTCGTTTAATGAATCTTTTGTGATTAATGAGTCTTTTTTGATTTAGTAGTAGGCTAACTAAATTATATTTGAAATGCTGATTACAGTGGAGTCTGGTACTTAGATTGCTGACAGATTTTCTTCTAGTTACAATATGCTTCTTTGCTAATCTCAAAGAGGAATGACGAGGAGAAATAACATTGGAATCTGAAATCAAATGTTTTCTCTCAGGAGTGCAGTCCCAAGACTCTGACTGAACATTCAACACATACCAACAATGTGTAAATCATAATTAAATAAACCAATGATAAGGGAAACAGAAAAAAACAGGCCATTAAATCATGTTGTTATCATTTTACATCTACAAAAATGCCTCCATTAAATCATTAACATTCTTTGTAAAATAACTCATGGTATCCAAAGAAGGTTATTGCATAACCACAACATTTAGAAAGAAAAAGGTGGATAGCAGTAAATATTGTGATTATGCAAGACTTCACCTCCATTCTTTGTAAAATCATTTTCATTCTTTATATATTATGGCCAAGTATTCTTCACCTCATATTTGGATTAGATTCATTGATAATATACCTCCTAATTCTTCTCATTCATTTTAGTTGCTTACCACTTTATTCCCCTTTTTTTCTCGTTATTTTCTGAGACAATATCAAGTTATGCTTAGAAAATTGTACTATCGTAGATACTGTATTGGTTTATTTCTTTTATGTTTATTCACAATTGGTTTGAGATTCATCAATCCCTAAAATTTGTCGAGATAGTGCTTGAGATATTTCTTACGTTGCAAACTACTTATTTTGAGTTTATTCTGCTCGATCAACATTTGAAGGATATTACTATTTGTCTGAGATTGTTTTTTGCTGTTAAGATTATTGATGCAATGTCATGATACCCTGCGCTGTATATTTTTGAATTGGGTCAGTAAGTTTTTACCAAGTGAATACGATTTTTTTTAATAATTTTTATCTTTTGATTTGAATAAGCTCAACGTGCTTGGATTTATTTGCTTGCGGTAGAATACATATTGAATTCAAGAGAAGCCCCACCTTATGTGGTCATGGGAATGTGACTAGCTAGCCGATTAGGTTCAATGGATATTTCTTTGTACAATTCTTGGATCTGATCTCCCAAAACCTATTTGATGCACAAATCCTTCAGTATCTTGCACTAATTAAAATGGTTATTTTCCTTCCATTTCATAACTAATTCATTCCGAAAATATTTAATGTTTTATACAATTATTTTTTACTCCCATGAAACTCATAATTCGGCCGCTCAATGCACAGATTCACATTTAGTTACAATAATACGAAATTGTTTTTGGTACATTTTTATGGATACAAAGCAAGATTAATTTCACATCAAGATAATTTGATTTTCATTTTAAGTGAAAAAATGCCTCTTAAATAGGAATAACCCCTGGTCTGTCGTTAAAGAGTTTCAGCTTACAATACTCAGGACTATACCCTATGCGGCTATACTCCCCTCCCCCCCCCACCAAAAAAA